TCTTACGACTGTCAGTAGCCTGAATCGATACAACCGAGCTGCATGCTGAGGTTCAAAATTCCACCCGGAGAAACAGAGACCAACACATCAACAATCTTCGTGATGAAGTGGAGAGACATGTTGACAAAGCACAAACAAAGAAAATTTTCTTAAAAGTTAAACAAGTTACAGGTACCTTCAAACCTAAGAGTTGGACCATAGATGACAACAAAGGTAACACCTTAACAGAGCTCTACGGAGTTCTGGAGGGATGGAGGACTACTATGAACTCCCTACTGTTATGAACTCTATCGGGAAGAAGACGGCTCTATTTTGAAAGGAAGTGGGATGGTACACTGAAAGAAAACGCGAAAACTACAGATCCTTGTCATTGATGTCACATGCAAGCAAAATCCTGATGCGCGTTTTAAACACCACGCTATTAGCTTGTGCAGATCACCAGATACCAAGTGAACAATCTGGTTTTGTAACTGGGAAGGGTACTTGCAAACAAATTTCGCACATACGTATTCATATTGAGAAATGTCGTGAATTCTACAAATCCCTGGTCTTGTGCTATGTCAACTATGCCAAGGCGTTCGATTGTGTCCAGTGGAGGACAATATTCGATGTGTTGGTAGAGATTTTCTCACCAAAACTATTTAATTTGTATGGAGAATATATCAAGAGGAAAGCACTGGAAGGCTGGGACGGCGGTTTTGCATTCGATGGCCGAAAGATCTGTTATTTTTGGTATACAGATGATACGACTGTAGTTGTATCGAGTGAAGTGGAAATGGCGGTACTTCGAAAGAGGTAGATTTACGGTGGTAGGGCCACGCGGCAGCCTCGGCTGTTGCACGAATGGGCAAGCCCGTCCGGGTAAGTACCACGACCTCACAAAAGACCAGCGTAAAGTGGAAGTATGACAACTACATTTCGCGTTTCGTCTGGTGAGTGAGGTAGCCGGCGCCCAATTTTCAAAAGGTTGTCAACGCATCTGTAACCCTCGGGTGTAGCAGATGTCGATGGGCGGCGGTATTCACTTACCATCAGGTGAACCGTATACTCGTTTGGCAACTTTTCACATTAAAAAAAAAACTTCGAGTGAGAGTCGAAGTTGAGGGTGCCAATGACTAGCTTTTAAGATCAATCATGATAAAACTAAAATAATGGTGGTAGACCGAGCGCAAGTACTGCCTCTCTTTGATGCATTCAATGGGTATAAAAAATTCAGCCAATTTGAATACTGGCAGCTGCACTGATGAAATTCGTCGTAGAGCCGGTATGGTCAAAAGGTATTTGACGTTCAACAAATGGTTGACTTGGTTCGAGCATTGGTCTTCTCTATTTTTATGTAGGATGCTGAAACATGAATCATAAGAATCCGCGATAATGTGTTGGCGTAGGATACTCCGTACTCCTTGGACTGCCATGAGAAGCAATGACCGAATATTACAAGCTTTGAACATCACGAAGCACACAGCGAACATGACAGTCTCGAGAAGCAGATCATTATAGGTCAGATGAACGGAAGACTGGCTGCCTTAAGCATCGTGCATCTTGCTGCATTGAGGGCATCGACATGATGGGCTGACACTGTGAAGAACGTGGTGGGGGGCAACATACGATCGCACGCATTGGAAGAGTACATGTGGTCACGATCCTCAGAATTGACTGACAAGATCCTTTAATATTTTTGTTTGCTTTATCGAATAAGTAAGTAGCCTGGTAAAATTTCACCTTTTATTTTGTGCAAGAGTAATATTAACTTCTTTGGGTTTCTGTTGGATTTGTTAAAAACTTCATAATACCGTAGTAATTCTTCCTTCGTATCTTTATGATTTCATTTACTTTTTCTTTCGTAGCTGTACTTGTTACAAGTTTTATATTCTTTTTATCGTAGAACCACGTAACAGTCCTCGCTGTTGCACGAATGGGGAGGTCTGTCCGGGTAAGTATCATAACCTCACAGAAAACAGCTTAAAGTGGAATTGTTACACTTCTACGTTACATCTGGTGAGTGAGGTAGCCGGGGCCCACTTTATTATAAGGTAACGTATCTGCATCTACTGTTATCACTTAACATCGAGTAAAACTTTCCATCTTCTCACATAAAAAAAAGATATGACATTTATTATTATAATTTTTTTTAACGTATCTTACTCGCCGCCCTGTCTAACGTGAATTAAAGACGAGACGTCCCAATTGTGAAGTTTTCGTGTCTTCACATTGGGCGTATTAACAACATATCTGTAGTATAAAATAACATTCGGTGTGGATCTCAGACCATTAATAAAGTACTTTATTATTGATCTGAGGTGCAGATACATAAAAATACTACATAATATATTACAAAATCGTACCGCTGTCTGTCTGTCCCTATATATGCTTAAGTCTTTAAAACTACGCAACGGATCTTGATGCGTTTTTTTTTCTAGATAGAGTGATTCAAGAGGAAGGGTTATATGTATAATATATTGCACCTGGATCATCAGTCATAAATAAAATAATATGGTATACATAGGTCATTTATACTTTGTTTACTAAAAATATTTAATCAAACATGTTTCATATCGTTTTTGAGTCAATTAATATCAAAAATTTTAAACAAAAAAAAAAAGCAAAAAAAAGGATTAAAACTATTTTATTAAAGTAAATAAAGAATACGAAATTTTGTTGGGTAAAGTCTACACTAAACATAATTAAAATTAAGAAATATAACATTAAAAATATACGCAATTGAATATATATGTTTTAAAGTATGTATATATTTCATTAAAAATTTTAATAAGGTAAAGTATTAGGTGCAGTGTACAGAAATAACAGAACATTGACTTAAAATTGCTTTAATTAATTCAGGTCCTACTAATTAATAATGAAATGTAGATTAAATATGAATATTATTATAAAAAATCAATGCTTTTTGTTTGACTAGAACTAGCTGTTGTTCTATGAAAAGAACCAATGTTGAAAACTGGAGTGCTGTAATTTTTACTTGCTGACTCTGGTTCAGTTTTGGCTATAGTTGAATACTGAATTGGTCTTTTACCAATAATTAATGGAAAACATTCATCAGAAATACAAGATAATGCAGACTGTATTCGTTTCATACGGTTTGAACATTCATCAAAATGATCAGTAAGGTACTTTAGCTGTGGTACAGCTGCAATATTAATATGTGTTTTTAAATTTTTGTCAATTATTTTCAAACCCTCTGTGGATGTAAAAGTAACTTTCTCACCAGAATAAAAGAATAAATCAATATCAGTACCATTCTCCATAAGTTGACATTTAGCTAATGAAGAATACAGAGTAATTTTTGGGGTTTTAGCTTTTACAAGGTCAACAAAACGTGATGCATACAAGTATTTTTTCCAATGTTTCTGCGGCAAGTTGTGATATGAAAAAACTTCGTCAGCTGTAGGATCATGTTCTGTGTTTGAATTAGTTTCCTTATCTTTATCAACAGAATAAATTATGATTTTCATTCCATCTTTTGATATTTTGCAGATTTCTACTATTCTCTCTTCTCTGTTCTTACCTTTTTTCTTAATAAACTCTACAATAACACCAGACGCTTCGATTTTTAAGATAGCATTACGAGTGCGATGTGAAATTGTAGGCAATCTTTCAGAACAAAGAGGTGGTACATTTAATGAGTTGCTGGTAATACATGGTTTTGACATATTTTCCTTATAATCTACATCTGAATCAAAGTTTTGTGAACTACTGTGTGGATGATGCTTAATATTTAAATACTTGAGGTTATCAGCCAAGTTTGAAGTACTACCAGTTGTATTATTTGGTTTTTTTGCTGTGTTTTGTTTAATTTTGTTAGATTGATCTTTGCCATTATGTAATTCAACTGATACACCATCATTAAAACAATGTTTATTATTACATCTATTACTAAAGCCAGATATGGATTGTTCATTGTTAGTTCCTGAAAATATGTTATACTGATGGATATCCAACGGTTGTTTTGGTATAAATCCTTCATCATTTCCTCTATTTAAATCTAAATATTCTGATGCTTTATCTCCTGCTCTAATTTTTGCACTGTGTTGAGTACTATGCATAGTTGTCAAAAAGCCCGAGTCTCTTGATAAATCCTGTTTAGCCACATTAATTCCATTAAATACATTGTTGAGAAATGGATGTTCCATTATGCCTTTTAGTGATATTCTCTTTGATGGATCTTTACATAACAGTTTCTGTAACAAATCTTGGGCTTGGACTGACAATTCATTAGGAATCCGATAATCTGCATTTATTACTTTATTAAGAGTTGTTTTAACATGTTGAGTATGAAAAGGAGGACTACCAACCAAGAGAGTATATAACATACACCCCAATCCCCACACATCTGCAGGAAGTCCATGAAACTCTCTCGAAGCTACTTCAGGAGAAATATAATTTGGTGTTCCACACATAGTGACATGTTTTTCATCTGGACCATTTAATTGAGTTGCTAAACCAAAGTCGGCTATCTTTACATTTAAATCTTTTGTCAACAGAAGATTATTTAATGACAGATCCCTATGAATAATATTGTGTGTATGTAAATACATAACTCCACTTAAGACTTGTCTAAAAATATCAGCAGCTGCTTTTTCAGATAGACCTCTAGTTCCTAACTTAAAGTGTTTAGCTAATTCACCATTATGTGCTAATTCTAATATTAAGTAAACATAATGGGCATCTTCGAAAAATGTGTACAGTTCTAAGATAGCAGGGTGTTTTAAGCGAGAGTGAATTGTGACCTCTTGTCTTACACGACCTATCATACCAGCACTCGCCATGAGTGCCTTGTCTATCATTTTGATAGCAACAAACAACCCTGTTTTGAGGCATCTTCCACGATACACATGTGCAAATCCACCTTTTCCTAAGTGTTCTAATAATTCATATTCCTCAATTTTCTCACCAAACATTTTCTTTTCATATAATTTGCTTATCATAAATGTATATTTTCTTATGTATTCGAAAAGCACGAAAAACCTCCAAATCTGCCATTATTTCTTAGTGTACTGTAAAAAAAAGTGGTACCAATTAATTTGATTATTATTTCGTTCAATAAAAAAGGTAAAACTCAAAAGTTTTTATAGTAAAATTTGTACTTGATATTTAGTACTTTAGTATTTTAGTAGTATTTGGTAAATTTTCTATCTAATACAACAATTTTAAGATTTAAATACCTTATTTACAATCCATTTGGCATCTTCAATACTTTTTGCTATTATTTCACTTACTCTCTCAGGATCACTTTCAGATTTATGTTGTTTGTAACTCTGTAAAGGATATAAAATTTTATTACTGATGGCACGGTTACATCGGGGAATATGAGTTTAGGATCTAATGTAAAAGTTTTTTATAAAGGGCACATTCTTCTATATTTTCAATGATCATTAACTTTACCTGTTTTATATAAAATTTGTAATGTTTACATGCATCCGGCGGCAATCTTTCACATTGACGTAATAAATGTTTGTACAATTGAAGAGATGTCATAACACGCTTAGTGTCATTACCATATAACCGTAAAGAAATTAAAAACATTTCTTTCAGCCCAGCTTACTATACTATAATTCTAGGCTATGGAAGTAATACAACACAAAAAAATATTGATTTTAGTAAAGCTGTGTCGCAATAGAACTATATTGCATTGCGTAACAAACCATTAAAATTCAAGATATTGGGCTATGTATAATAATAATAGAAATGTATAACTATAATGTATACATTGCAGACCAGACAGAGAGAATTAATCATTAGGTATAAGTTAAGGTCAGAGTTGCATTTAGGTATGATGAAAAATATAGTACAAAAAATTTAAAAGCATAGTATTTTTAAAGAAAAATTGTATAAAAAACGACATTTTATTCAAATTTGAATCCGGGACAAAGCCTGGACATTCAAATATTTAATACTTGGCATACATTTTTTTGGCCAACCGGGCCCAAAAAGACAATATCGAGATATCGATATTTTCTCTTCGATATATCGAGACTGACATTGATCTTTTTATATCATATTCTTCACTTTCGGCATCCCTACATTTCCCCAATTATTCCCCATTTTCCATAATAGCATGATAATTGAAATTAAACTTCACTTAAAACTTGTAATAATAAACTTTGAAGAAGTGTATTCTTTAGTGTGATGCCACTACTGTTCCATGGTCAGTAACGGATATAATCTTTGAAAAACATTGAAAATAATAACCCTTTATAGAAATAAAATAAAGATATTGATAATCATCATTAATTTTATAAAGAACAATTAAAATATTACAAAGTAATATTAATATTATATTTTAATTTATTTTGAAATATAATAAATAATAATTTTTTTTAATAGTTCAAATTTAATGCAATTGCCATTTTTTAAAATACAGTTTTTAACTATCACGTCATTAAATATTTTTTATACGTTTTTTTTACTTTTGATAAAAATTTTGATTAATAAAAAAAATCTTTTTTTTACCTTTAATTAAATTTTCTGTAATCCTTCATTCTTAAAATCGTCTTCAAGTTTTATTTTCCTTCTTATTCACTATTCGATTGGTAGATCTTTTTTTTCTAATTATGTGACACATCTAGTTTTAGGAACGAATGAAAACATTTTGATGTTTAATTATCTTTATATTGTGAGAAGAAATGCCCTCTGTGACTCTGTGGTGTAACTTAATATACAATGTTCTAAGACTGAAACTCTGTGCTTCGTAATTTCATACGTCATTTTCCATCTGTGGTTTACAAAATGATATGTGTCTCTTCTTGCAATGCATTGTAAATGCATCTATATTATGTCGGTTGTTTCTCGTTCGTAAAGTAAGGAGAAACATAATTACAAAATAAAGTTTTAACAGTGTTGGTATTCGTGTTTTTATAATTTCCTTTTGTAAAAGTAATTATGTGTGTTACGGATTACGGTGTATTAAATGATTCATAAAAAAGATTAGTATATAGTCATGATAACTCAATATTATTTTACTTTATGTTTGTGATTGTGTATTGCTATGATAATGATTCGTTAGCACTGATGTGGTATGGCACTTGTAACTATTCGACGTACTCCCAGTGTTCAAACACCGAGAAAAACGGTGAGTAACAAAAACGGATGTAAAAGTTAGGTCAATAATTTTGCACATGCTATAGTAATAAGGACCAGCAAGGTTGACAGATGAAACTTTTTCATGTCTTTGTTCTCAATATATTATATTATAACCGTAGAGTTTCATGTAATTGTAATTTGTTCATGAAGAACAAATAGTTATAATGAATTAAATTGTTTGATATTTTTATGACTTGTTTAGCAATAGTCTTCCATATATTTTTAACATTTGCCTAGGTTAATAACAAGAAATAACAAAAGGTTTGCAATGCAATATATAAAAATATTAATTCGAAATTTGCAGTAAGTAAATTATGTATTCTTTAGAGTAAACCAGTTTACAATTACTGTTATTAATCTTCTCTAACACTTACACTGGATTTTACTTAGAGAAATAATTTTAATTAATAATACATACTATGAATAATTATAAAATATTAAATTAGTATGAGCAGTTATTTTACATTTTATATTTTATTGTTAATTAAAGATTATATAAAAAGATATATGTTTTAATAATTTTAATAAATAAATATTATACATAAATGTTGTATTAATTCTAACTAGGTGGGATAATGGCAGGAGGATGATCATATTTTTCGCTTTTCTTTACTTTCAGCTTCTATTTCGGGTATGTAAATAGAATTCAGGCAACCGGTGGATGCAAATGGCAAAGTGTCATTCGTTGTGGGGTTCTAAGGGGGAGGCCTATGTTCAACAGTGGACATCTTGCGGCTGATGATGATGATGATGATGAAATAGAATTCATTAACTTTTCATCATAACTAAAGAATATTTATATGCATATAACATAATGTATTGTTTTCAGGATGATGATGAAAAATCAAGCGAAACAAGTGAAGATGATGTTGGAAATCGATCCACCAAGAGGTAATTAAAGACATCATAAAATAATATTTTTCTAAAAAAAGAAAAACAATTTTTTCAATTGTATATCCCATAGATTTTAAATTAAAAAAAATAAACTTAAGTTTGTGTTGAAATGAGAGGCTGATAAAATGAAAATTATTTGGTATTGTGGAATTACTATTTACTCAGCTGTATTACACATAATCCATTATTTATAAAAAAGGGTGCCATAGATAATATAATATAAACATATAAGGTAATATTGATAAATATGTTTTAACTAACTTTGTGCGAAAAATTCTAATGTAACTGTGTAGATATAAGTTTGTTTATGGCACTTTTATTTGTGCTTTAATAAAAATAAGTTGCCTGTTGCAATTCTTACTTTATATAATATGTGTTTATTAGTTTAAACACCTCTTTCATGATGAAGCATACTTCGTATTTGTTTTCGTTTTCCGAAGGGATATTGGTTTATTTATGTGATTGTGCTTTTGTTAGCATCGAATGGCAACAATAGTTGTGTAGAGCGACGTGCACCCGACCGCCCCGTGTTCCTGTTCTGCGTCGAGTTTCTATATTTACCGGCGGTCGGTTCATAGTCGGAGGGAAGAAGTGACGCGCGAGTCGGGCGAGTCTCGTGCGCATCGTATTGTGCCCCGGGACGGCGTACGGAGCGCCGCGGCCCGCAAGCCGCCGTGTCTAACAAACCGCATCCGCTAGCCAAATCGCAACCGCAAATCCGTTTTGTGTCGGGCGTGTTCTGGAAGCGGGAACGCATTGGCTCGCCCTCGTATTCATTTGGATGACACCCCATTACACAGTCTATCATATGGTCGCGTTCAGGTAATGTCCGCTTGTCTCCACTTGTCTAATTCACATACTTTTTTAGACAGCGGCCATGGTTATAATTTTATTGCATCTTTAGCAGTGTCAGACTAGTTTATCGAGCATCCTTTATGTGTTCAGCGCACAATTAATTGCCTATGCTTACGAATAATTTAGACCTTGACTGCGAATTTAACCGCGAAAGGAACTAGATATCAATTTTTCTGCAAATGTTATGGCCTTCTTAGTAGTGAACGCGCATTGTTGTTTTGTAAATTGTAAACAATCTCGGAGAAGGTTCTCTTTTGTTCAATCGACTGCAACTTTTATTTTACTGGTGCAATTGCCAGTCGTAATATTTATACACTGTTAACCAGTATTTTATATAAAATACTAAATGTTTCTTTTAATTCGTTTTTATTGCGTGTGTAATTTGCGTTTTACATTACGCGAGGCTTTGTTATCTGTTATACCCGTGAATAAAAATCTAATTCGAGTAGCGCGACGGTGGCTAAGTTTCATACTTTGCATGTATGAACGTTTAATGCAAATCACGTGTGTAGTATGTACCTATTTGTGTGGTGAATTTTAATATATTTTATATACCTATACATATATCGTCAAATTCTTTACGAATGCCTCAACTAGTCGTGTTGTCAAAAGGTTAAATTTACCGTAAGTTTAAAGCGCGTTTTAATGTATTTTTATGTGCGCCATTATAATATTTTAATGCTGTCGTTGTTAACTTCCTGTTTGCTAAATTGAGTTTGACACTCTTCATTAAAAAAAATACAAACTTATAGTTTTCAGTGGATATGCTTCGATTATATTTAATTTGTAGGTCATTTTCTTTTATTTCTTTTGAAATATTAATCGGAATTTTCTTATTTTATATAGATTTAGATGATGCCTCATTACGTAGTATATAGACTTGGATCTGCGACTGCGGGTTAGTATAAGAGCTGCATAGACTAATCAGTTTCCATCTCTTGGAATTCCAAAATTGAACAAACTTTTGTACCGCGGCAAACTGGATGGATATCTGTCACGTTAACACTGAAGATATTAAGCGAAAATTATAGTATGGCATGTGTTATAAGTGCCCGAGTGAATCATTACAATAAATTTATATAAGAGCTAGAACTTTAACTTCTAAAAATGAAATTTAACTTCACTTATTATGGAAACTGGCTCGTAATTTTTCTCGGAAGAAGTGACACTTGACTGTGATTGTTTGCTATCTGGTCAAAAAAGGCGTCTGAAAATCAAAAGCCTATATTTATGTTCTACTAGCTGTGCCCGCGACTTCGTCGGCGTGGAATTTTAAATAAAAAAAATCTTAAATAAAAGTAGCCTAAGTTACTCCTTATTATATCAGGTATCTGCCAGTGAAAGTCCCGTCCAAATCGGTCCAGCAGTTTCAGATTAGCCGGAATAAACAGACAGACAGACAAAAATTAAAAAAAAAAACTAGCTGTGCCCGCGACTACGTCCGCGTGGAATTTAAAATAAAAAAAAAATCTAAAATAAAATTACCCTAAGTTACTCCTTATTACATCAGCTATCTGCCAGTGAAAGTCCCGTCCAAATTTGTTCTAGCCGTTTCAGAGATTAGCCGGAACAAACAGACAGACAAAAATTGTAAAAAAGGTTATTTTGGTACATGTACCGTGTATACATCCATATGCATTTAGTAAAAAGCGGTTATTTTAATATTACAAACAGACTCTAATTTTATTTATCTGTATAGATGTTATTTTGGTATATGTGCCGTGTAAACATCCATATGCATTTAGTAAAAAGCGGTTATTTTAATGTTACAAACAGACTCCAATTTTATTTATCTGTATAGATTGCTTGGCAAAGGCTTCTTTCTGTACATATTAACATCGCGGCTACGTATTGGATAATTTCACATATCTTAAAAAAATATATATTTTTAATTATAATTTCGTAAATATGCAGGTTTCCTCACGATGTTCTCCTAACCCATTGAGGACGTGATAAGTTGACACTTAAATTGCAATTAAAAATTTCAAATGTGATGGCAGCGGAATTTGAACTCTGGTTGCTCGAGTATATTGTATCAAACGCGAGCTCAGTGGCAAATTTTCAGTCAAAATGTGACTCAGACTAAACTAACAAGCCTTCAAGTAGAAATCTCAACAATAACAATCCTTCAACTAGAGGTATCAAGTTGAAATGTATGTGAAATACTAAGTTCTGAGTTTGCGGGGAAAGCCTATGTCAATCAATGGTCTAAAACATGCTGAAATGATGATGATTATTACTGCGGTCCGATGGCGGTGTAAAAAGTATTTCATTTATGTTAGACATATTAGATAATATTCGAACTAACTCATCAAAACCCTTTACTTTACTTTACCTACAATTGTAAAATTTTTGAAATTATTACAATTTCTCAGCAAGTCGATGGAAAAATTGAAATAGGAATTATTTTACTTTTCATTTATTATTGATTAACATTTCATTTGTAATTAATAGACAGTAAATTTTAATGCGCACGCTCTGTAAGATCTCTCTATCAAACGCTTGGGCCCTGTAATAATATAAATATTCAGCGATTTTTATTAAAATAAAATAAATTTAAAATAGTACTTTAGATTCATTGTACATGTACATATGGCATTCTATGTGCATCGTCACATCCTTTAATATTTACTTTGATATTTCCAATAAACAGCCCTATTGGTGCCTCTTGTACCAAATCGAAGAAGGATTCTTAAATTATAATAGAATTATTTATTTTGCGTGAACAAAACTTTGTGCAGGATATAGAATTATATTAGTTATTTAACAATGTTCATACAATGCTTATTGCTTTCATATTTTTTTTTTATGTGAAAAGTTACCAAGCGAGCAGGCGGTTCACCTTTTGTTAAGTGAATACCGCCGCCCATGGACATCTGCTACACCCGAGGATTGCCGATGCGTTGACAACCTTTTTGTTAATTGGGCTCCGGCTACCTCACTCACCAGACGAAAAGCGAAAGTATTATACTTCCACTTTACGCCGGTCTTCTGTGAGGTCTTGGTACTAACTCGGACGAGCCTGCCCATTCGTTTAACATCCGAGGCTGCTGCGTGGCCCTACTACGGGGAATTATATATATAGGTTATAATATATATATATAAATATAAGTAATATATGCAAGTTCGTATGCCAGGTCGATGGTCTAAATCACATAAAAGAAATGTGTTTTTAACAAAAGGTTATTTCAATCATTTTATATCCTGCATTATTTTGTTAATAAGCATCAAGTACCACAAAGAAACTACTTCATAGAATTTTAGAAACGAATGAATTTTTTCGAATCGATGCTACTATTTATATAATATTTGTAGTAATATCTAAGATTGTACATCATTCCGATAATAGTCCGTCGACGAAGTTTGCAATGCGTGAACAACTGAGGGCATGAGGAGAGCCATGGGGTGTAAGACGCGCAGAATAGTTGACAGCATGGTTCTGTGCAATGGGTGTGCAGAAGATCGCACCGTCCGCCCTAAATTGGGTATAGCGGCCCGAAGAATCGAGCGCGGCGTTCCGCCTCTATATGTACGCGCTGCGCGGAGCGGCGCTTTGGCAACTCGCCGCCGCTCTATTTTTAACGAACCTTGAGAGCAACCGCCCTTGCTGCCGTAATGGAAGTGACAGTGTGGATTCGTCGTCAGTTAATGCACTATAAACAAATGCCCACACCGTTCTATCCTTAGTCGGGTGACGTTCGTACGTCATGAATTTCACGCTGTCGTGTCCGCCTCTTCCCGCCCATTCTCAGCGATGCTATTTCCGAATGACCTCATCATATTTTTGAACGCCTCTGTGAGAGGCACGCGGCCCCTATATAGGTAAATGTCACAGTGCGACCCTACCCGCTCGTTTATCTCTATTTTAAACGCACGAGAGCCTCAATTACACAGGCTCTGGCTCTTTGTCGTGCACCGTAGCTATTTTCGAAATGTTAGTAGGTACCGAAAATACTCTTATTGCTGTTGTGACATTCGATTACGTTTACTAAGTCCAAGAATAAACTACATTTGTGAAAGGATTACTTTAGCATAAGTTCACTAAGCAGTCTCCAATTTTTGATCCTTTTACAAGCACGAAAGTTTCATTCCAACTGTTTCTTTTCACGCTAAAACTTGTGCGTAAAATTATCAATTTCCTAGAAAGCCGGTCTGTATTCAATGTGCCGATCAGTCCTCACGAGGTCCTTGTACGAGCGAGGTTTTAATTTCCCCGCACGAAAACTTAATGCACACTTTTAAACTCGCACGAAAGTCTGTGCGCGGTACGTGCTAATGGACATAAGTGCGGTTTAAATATACACGGCGCGCGCGTTGCCGATGCAAGCGTATTGTTAGGCCTCATAAAATAGCGGTGCGATTCAATGAGTAATCGCGCCCGTGTACATATCGGGGCGAACCCACGGCGGCGGCCCAGCCAGCGCGTCTCAGACCGGTGTGGGGTCGGGCCGGCTGCGAGCTGGGCCGGTGAAAGGAACCGTGCCGGTGCGCCAATACCGATTGCGGCAACCTCACTAAAAATGGCGTCATTCATACATTTCTCGGTTGCATTACGTTGAATAAAAAAATAATAATGACAGTGTACTGTTCCGCGCGAATCTCGCGGTTCTCGCTCCCTGGACGTCTTGTGACCTTTCTGTTATCGTTAGATGTGCTTACGTATTTCGGAAGATAGAATGTACGTGATATAAGTTTTTGACATTGCAATAAAGAAAATATTTAACTGATATACAAATTGCAATCATATTCGAACTTGACTCTACCTTAGACACTGACTACCGAATCTAAAATAGCTCGATATCGAACCGTCGCGTCATTTGTTGGTGAATATTAAATAAGACTGTTAGTTAAAACATAGGCGATTTAGAAAAACGTATCTTTGTACATTGGTAGGTAACGTACTTACTACTCTTGTCTAGGCACTGTCTTGAAAATGATTGATTCGCGTTACTTTGCAAACTGGTTTTCGCAACTCGACAGGATGCGCATACTTAACTTATTAAGGGTAGGTGTTGTTTTTGTCGTAACTGCAAAAAGTATAAGCATTTTATGTCTTAAGACTGCTAATAATATCGTAATTTCATGTGAGTAGCGTGATATTTCATTTGTATAAATTCAGTTAAAGTCAAAGTTTTTTTCATTAAATATAGGTTTACGTTACGCCCGGTTTCTTAAATAGTCATTTAAGTTGCCAAAAGGATAGTTAAAATCTTTGGATCATTATAATCATTAAGAAGATCATTCTGAGAGAAAGTATTAAAGTTTTGAAAAGGAAGGTTTATAAATTACGGACGCACACACATAATTAGCATTACGTTTTTATGATTTTCCAGTGGAGTATGATAAATAAGCGTCAAAGAGTAACCTTAGCAAGGATAATTATTAAAAAAAGTATGAAGAGAACTTCCTGCAAAGTATATCGGCCAACGCGGCGATATCTTTATAGAGAGCGGTTTGAGTAAAGTACCAATCGACACGAAGGTTTAGATGTTTAAAAACGCGTAATCTTTAAAGTCATAATTAGGTTATAGGCTTATAATTATGTTCATGTATCAACCTAATCTATAACATTTTGAGAAAAATCAATCACCAATATGATAAAAGTAAAAGTTGATGTTGTTGTCCCCTTCCACAACGCAGCGGCCGAACACATTTAAATTAAATTTCGGACGGTGATAAGCGTTGGGTTCTTTTAGCCCGTGAATGTTATTAGTATCAGCCCAAATAAAAAAAAAGAACGACAACACGACAGGCTACATAAAAACAGCATCTGATTCTGGAGGAGCCGCGTGCGTTTCGTTTCGCCTGGGCGCGTTGGCTAACCCGTGGCCGTTGTTGCAGTCTCAATGAGTGCTACTTCGCGAACAAGGGGGCGGCGCTGGTGCTGGGCGTCGGCGACGCCTGCTCGGAGCGTCGCCGCACGCCCGCCCGCCCCATCCCCCAGCCGGACATCCACCACCACCTGCGGGCAATGTTCTACCTGGTGCGCCCCGAGGAGACGCTCAAAATGGTATATATCCTTATCCTTAGCCTTATTTATTACATTTATTTATTTGATCCTTACTAATATTATAAAGGCGAAAGTTTGTATGTATGAATTGTTATGTCTTTCACGCAGATACTACTGAATACATTTTAATGAAACTGTACAACAATTATAGCTTATATATCAGAATAACACATACGCGAAAATTTATATACAAATTTTAATGTATACCTGTATTTCTGTCTGAATGTTAAGCCTTCAGTCTATTCTACGCAGACGTAGTCGCGGGCAGCAGCTTATATATATATAATTATTCTGTACGTGTGTTTGAACGTGAACTCCTCCTAAACGGCTGGACCGATTTTAATAAAATTTTGTGTGTCTTCAAGTTGATTCGAGAATGCTTTAAATTCACAATTCTGGATACTACAACTTTTTTATTTTTTTTACTTATAAGTTGTCGGATTTAAGTCGTGTGTACAGGACAACGTCTGTCGGGTCCTCTAGGATATTTATATATATTTTAATGTAAGAAGGTGACAAGTGTGCTGGCGGTTCACCTGATGTTAAGTGATAACCGCCGCCCAACGAAGAAACGCAGAAGTTTAACACTACACTTCGGTCTTCTGTGCGGTCGCGGTACTTCCCCGGACGGACCTGCCCATTAGTGAAACAGCGAACTGTTGGGTGACCTTTACCACAGTAATATAATCTGGTGCAGCTGCTGAGTTAGCGAACGCTCCCTTTGCAACGACCCCGACCGTGCGTGACGATTGAGGTGCGCGTTCCGCAGTAGCTGGTCGTGGGCTAGACTCCAACGGGGTCATTCGTGTGACTTTCAGATAGTTTCTCCAGATCCGTTTGTTTGTCCAGAAACAATTAGATGAACGAGTCACTTCCTACTTCCTACTATTCACTACTGTTGTAGAGAAAATGTTTGCATTTATAACATACACTGTTAAGTGAATTTACCAATAATAATAATAAATTAGAAAACTGTATTGCTAAATTTACGCGTGGTCTTACGATAGGTAAACAACTATTTTGACATTTATCTATCATTACAATTTTCTTTTATAATTTTTTAATTGAGGCGTCTAAAGCATTTTGTGAGAACAAGTAATTTCCATAACTCTTTAGAGTTTCTTAAATGATGACGTGTTAACAATCCAAGAAGCCGCTTAAGGTTACATACCATGTTTGAATAACCATCACATGTAACATCGTATATGTTTCTTTTGAATGCGTAACTCAGTAGCTCACTATTTACATATTGCTTTTACTGGTATTGATTCCCCAAGATCATATACGCTTTGGTCTGGATTAGTTTCAAATCGGAGATTATCGTCAAACTACAAAATGACATAAAAATCTAAAAACTAAAACGTAAACATTAAATTTAATCCAATCCGGTTTTTATCTGGCGTTGTCGCATGGAGTTTTCCTTTTCTCCCTTTATTGTTCAATTCGCAAGACGATTTACATCCTCCGTTCTGATTGGGGACAGCTCACATATTGCCTGCATAACCTATAGTTGTATTACATTGTCGTACAATCAGACGCCTCTTACGACGCGCACAGCGTGAATGGCAGCTGGTGCATTTCTCTTATTCCAGATGCGCACTGGAACAGCTAGTTTAGAACCGAGTTTCGTTCTAGCATAATGTAATCGGCGTTAAATAATGATGGTGCTAGGCGGTGAAGCTGGAGAGTGCCCACGCGGGCCGCACGCGTTACCTGGTGGTGGTCTGCCGCAGCGACGAGGCGGCCCTCCTCGGCATCGACTGCAACGACAGGACCACTGTGGGACTGGTGCTGAAGGTTCTCGCCGACACCTCCATCAAGCTGGACGGCGACGGGTGAGGCATTCTAATGTCTACGCATTGTACAGGGTGCCTTAAATTTTAAAGCTTGGGCAGCTTTGCACACTAATTTGCTATATAGAGCTGGAAAATTCAAATTCAGTTAGTTATTTTTATTCAGTATAGAAGCGTTACACATACTTATTGATTGTCAAAACACCACTAACGGTTCGGAGAAAAAGCTAATGAACCGAGAAGAACCAGCGAAAGAAACTAAACGGGACAATTTTTTTCAAATATAATTTGACAAATATAAAAAACGTGCGTACAACATATTCTATTCGTCTTGAAAGAGCCAGGAGCGATCGATTCATTTCCAGAGTGTGTTATCATTTAAATAATCACTAATATTATCTCTAATACACAAAACGTTTATTCACAAGTTTTTTTGAATTTAGCAACTGATTTATTTTGAACGTTTTCTTTGATATTGATGTAAAAACGTGTACATAGTCCCTTAAAGATTTACTGATCCTATGCAATCTAGATGAGGATAGAATTAATTTCATTATGTGCATTACTAAATTTTGAAAATTCGATTTATTTGTATGGACATAATATTTCCAAGTATATATTTGAAGCAACAGACAACTATTGATCGACTTTAAAAAAGGATGTGTTTATAAACCGATTTTAAAGAATCTTTTCCCATTGGGTTCGCTTTAACTCTTATGTGGTCCCATATTAATTTCATTGGTATTGAATCTTGGACTCCAGTACTGAACATCAGGAAACTACTCTAAATCAAGTACAAAACGTATTTGAAGTCGGTTTTGTTTTTTGTTTATAAAAGTGTACTTGGTTAGTATAGATAACGGGGTCAAAAGAGAAAACGTTCGAATTTTTATATTTGAAACTTCTAAAACTTGCCTACTAAACTGACTTCTAAAAATTGTAACCTAATTAGTATAATTATGTATTTTTTAAGAAACTTCAGCGTAAGTTTAGAAAATCCTGTCTATTTATTTGAACATCACAACGAAAATCGTTATTTCTAAATGGACATATTTCAAATTGCTACAGTACAGTCGAGACTACTGTTGCAAAATATCTGGCGTTGCGGTCGACAACCCGTTGCTTGCTGGCGATTATCGATTAATATGTTCGTTATCTGTGCAGCCGAGCATTGCTCGGGTACCGTGAAGGTTACTTTTAGTTAGCAATACCGTTAAGGTACCACTCAATCAAAATTACTTTCGGTAAAATATATATTTCTTGACCGCTCGAATTCCGAACCCACAATTATCCCTAGGCCATACGTTTAATTAAACCATTAGAGCCGTACGCAATCACCCAATTACATGTACGCATTCGGCCGATTTCCACTCGTCATAATGCTGAGATAATTATGTTTATGGACGAAATATGGAAGAGCGTAAATTGTGCCACATAGTATCTGGGAAACTAGGTCTTGCCACTTAACAGTTTTAACATTACTCACAAGCAACGGCCATTACTCCGTTTAGTGTACTCTTCGCTAGATATTATCGATATATCCGACACTGTGAACAATTACAAGAAGCTACCTAGCTGACAGCACACTCCGGTGAACTATGAACAATAACTAATTAAGGATTCATTGTCCGCAGAGGGTTCAGCGTGTGTGTGTGCAACCAGCAACACATATTCAAGCCCGTGTCTGTCCAAGCGATGTGGTAAGTGCGATTTTGTTATGAGCATAACGCGCTCAATGTGTGCAGCCCCGACCACTTTTCCATAAGTCTTAAAGAATTTCTATTGTTGTCTTTTTACGTGCGAATAAATGGTCTGTTCGCCTTCGGTATTATGAAAATTATTTTTTTTGCCCGATTTAATTTTTAATTTATAAATCATCATAGCTTTAATAAAGCTTTAATAAATCATCATTGCTTTAATAATAAATGACGAATCAAAACATAAATAGTAGTGGTGTCTTAAAGTAGCCATGAATCGAACGTTCATACTACCTACAGATACTTTCATTAGAATAAAAACCGAATGTCATAATTATTATTATTTACTGAAAACAAGATACGTTTTTTTTTATCACAAAATATTATGGAATGAATATACAGCGTGTCGTTACAATCGCGACAATAAATGAACACACGTCTAACGGTACTTGCCAATAATCATAAAAAAAATTAACGTTAAAAAATCCATAATAAAAAAAAGATTTTTCAAACAAACTAATTAAGTAAAAAAGAAACAAAATTTGTAACATCCTATACAACTACAACTGAGTGATTCATACATTCAGAGACTTTCATTCGTTGCCACGGCGTCGCATTACAAGCCTCTCCTTCCAACAGTATGTTTCGTCTCTTTTAAATTCATTCAACCCATTCATATGTTTTTTGACCTTTACAAATGAACTTTACGTTACAATTTTATACGTAAGGGTGTTCTAAAATTCTTTGTTTTGGAAAATTTAATAACTCTGCAAAATATTGATGTTTAAAGAATGTAAATTTTTGATACACTTTTAAAAAGTTATCCTCTATATGTGTGTTCATTTATTGTCGCGTTGGTAAAGACACGCTGTATGTTTATTAACGTATACGTTACAGTTTACACTACGCGATGATGATAAGCATCACATAGTGTACATCACTGATGAAACACTGATCATCGTAGAAGTTAGCTAATCAGCTGTCAAATGGCTTTTGAATTGTTATTTGAGTTGCCAAAAGGATGATTAAACCCTTTGAATTGATCATCCTTTTTTTATCAGTGTTTCAGAAACTGTGCGTTAGGTATCATATGGTTTCCGAATATTTGGCGTTTCTACTCAGAGCGCATTTGAATAATCGATATTCGACAAAATGCGCATTTATTTATACCTTAAAATTTGTTTCATCATTTGTAAATAGGCTTATGTCAATACCACGTAAAATAAAATAGAAAGATGTAAAAACTAAAACCTACTTTTTTAATTACAATAATCCACTAAATAGCCCTCATTGTATCGACAATGATGGCTATTTCGAAAGAATACTATCTAGAAATTGTTCTCGACAGGGAAGAGTGCACAATCATGCGCAACCTACCTTAAATGGTACCTATAGTTTTTGATTCGCGTAACTTTATTCCTTGTCATTAATGTAACCTTACATATTTCATGTAGGTTTATACCTAGAGATTATTCTCATAGGTGATTTTAATATTTAAGTATATACGCACGTGGCGTTTGAAAGCGTATTGTGTTTCATAGGTATTGCGTGATATACACTCATTGAGTAGATTGCAATAAAAGGATCTGCGTACTAGCAAACAATCGTGCGAATAGTTTTAGTTACGGATAAATTGAATTAGAATGTTTTTAGTCATTTGGATGATTTAGTTACGATATAGGAAATAGCTCAGCCAATTTCCAGCATCAATATGAGACTACAAAAAGCAAAAATTATCGTAGGATCATACACTACTATCAGACGTAAAGAAGTATTTGCACTTTTATATTTCTTCTTAAAAGTGAGGTAAGCGAACCCAATTCTACGAACGGTTCGCAGCGCAATTGCAACTCGCCTGAGCCGTCTATTCAAACGCCACGTAAGAAATGGTTAGGTCACGCAACAGTCTTCGATGTTGCACGAATCAGCAGGTTGGTCCAGTTAAATACCACGACCTGACAGAAGAACGCCGTAAAACGGATGTGTTACAGTTCTGTTTTCGTCTGTCGAGTGGGCCGACTTTATTGAAAGGTGGCAACGCATTTGTACGGGTGTTGTAAAACTCCACGCTTGCTACTTCCTCAAATAAAGAAACAGCCCCGTTCAGGATAGAACAGCGCGAACCGTCGTGAAACGGATGTGTTATACTTCTGCGTTTCGTCTGTTGAGCGAGGTAACCGGGGCCGACTTTATTTCGTTGTAAACGTTCACGGGCGGCGGTTATCACGCTTGCCACCTCAAATAGAGAAACAGCCCCTATCAGGATAGAAGAGCGCGAGTTTCGTTCCCAGGTCGGCGCTGCAAACGCTGCACCGCGCGAGCGGTCGGGCGCGCGAGCTGAACCACTTCGCCGGGGGCGCGTCGCACGGCTGGTGCGCCTACTACGAGGCGCGCGTGGACTCGGACCGCTCCTGCCTCAACGAGTGGCACGCGATGGACTGCCTCGAGTCGCGCCGCCCGCCCTCGCCGGACTCGCTCAGGCACAAGTCGGTACCGCCCCGCGTCGAGAATTTAAACTTTTACTCAAAGACATGTAGAAAACTGTTGTTGAGACCGCTGCCAGGCTCGAGCCTGCGTTCCGGTTCCGAACCGACTCATCCAGAAGTCGCATTGTATGAAAATTCGAAGATTTTCGAAAAAAACATTTTTTTTAACGCTACCTGTGACTTCCGGGTAACGCGCCAATACTCTAGCCACTAAGCTCGTTGATTTCATCTTATACCAGTATCGATTGCTTAACTCGCAAAAAAATTTTGGCCAATTTTTTTATACATTTAAACCTTAATTTAGCGATGACAAATATTAGTACAGATACTAGCAATAGACCTTCCAGCACAGCTCATTCTATGAAAACTAATAGCACCAAAGCCTATAAGCAATGTGACATCCTATGAAGAAGGAATCAAAACCGCGACGGGTGTACAGACGTCGCGACAGTTTCTTCATTTGACTACGTCACTCCAGTTTTTGGATCATGTTCATTTATTGTTTAAAGATTTTTTTACAAACTGTTTGCTTTTTTAAACATTGCATTCATTGTGGCGCGCCTGGTAGCCACGAGCTGTATTAGTTATATCCGTAACAGATTTACTTAGACCAAACCCTTACCAAGTATACCATTGCAAACCTAGCCATTAGATTAAGCTTAGAAAAACTCATATAATCTATATTGATTTCACCACTTTCTTTTGTTAGGACGAGTTAAATTACACGCTTTAAATGTTCATAGGCGTTCCATTCTATTTCGATCTAATTAAACGTGTTGCATATTAGCAAATTATCTATTTAGAGAAGAATTTTCTATCATTTTAAGAAGTTCGACTCGAATTGACGCCCACGAGGTTATTTATTTTCATAATGCTGGGAGTGCGGCGATTGAAAGCGTATGTTTTGCAGAGTATCTATAGCTCAAAATTAGTATGCATGACCTTTAAGGGGACCGCATGCTATTTATATTCCAGGTTCATAGCAAATGACGGTAAAATTCTTTTATTGGAGAATTGCAAACGCTTCGTAGTTATTTGTAAATACTGAGCATAAAAATATATTAAAGTTTAATAATGTATCTACAAGATAACTTTAAATTAGATGAATTTTGTCTTGAATGTGTTTTATAAGACGAAAAATTTTAACTTATTACAATTTTCAAAGTGTTCGTTTAATGAATTTCGTCATCGGGTAGTTATTGTTCTTGCATAAGAAAGTAATGGTAACGATAATTATTAAAATAACAAATAAAATACGAAGTATCGTAAATGATTTTATTGATTGAAGAGGTACGATTGAATTAAGCAATGTGGGCGTCCTCTGTGATATTGTCTGCTGGCTTTTAGATAATTTCAGTTGCGTAAAATATAATTGTAAAATGATATTTATATGAATTATTAGTATTCGTACTTACGGACGAGGCAAATGGACTTCCCGAAACAGATATGATGTCTGTATGAGATCGAAATCACGATGGTTTTTTAGACTGTAAAGCAATAGGCCAGTTACTAAAACTTGGAAATAATCGTACAGCGTACATTACACTGTCTCAAGTAACTCTAATGGGCGATTGTTATATGCGCATATATACATTGTAAAGATGTAGGCATATGTCGAAATCTAGAGTAGGATTAAACTGATTAGTGCCAACCATCAATCGTTACCTACTATTTATAAAATGACAACATAGATGCGCATCTTGATAGAAAGATTGACAACTATTTGAAGAACCTTAGCTTTAAAACAGTTTTTAAATATAATGAATACGCGTATATAAACAAATTTGTAATAAACAACCTTTGAACATCTTTGAATCCGTTTGGTGCTGTTGGCTTTTTAACGTACTTTACGATCGGGCCATACCTTGTTATTTATTATTAGAAACAGATGTAAATCAAGTAGGTATATAAAAATACTTTATTGTATATTTTGTTGCAAAGCATTCTTTTCTGGTTCGATAACCGAAGAAGCGATGTTGATTATGCCCGGCTCCCTATTGTTTTTGCTTTAGTTATACCAGAAAACAGTTGGTCAGTTAAATTAGACAGTGTAATGCATAATTGACTTAAGTGTATCAACAAAATTCAGCATCATCTCGATTCATTCATAGCATTTGGTGATTTTTTTGGTCGACGACCCGATTGGCGTGTGGAGTAGTGATCCTTCGTCCTGCGCTAGAGGGTGTGGGTTCGATCCCCACTACTGGAAAAATATTGTGTGATGAACATCGTGATTTTCCAGTGTCTGGGTGTTTATATATGTATAATATGTATTTATTTATAAAAAAAAGTATGTTTAAGTATGTTTATCAGTTTTCTAGTAACCATAGTACAGGCGTAGCTTATTTTGGGACTAGAGAACGTTGTGTAAAAAATGTGTCCGAATATATTTATTTATATTTATTTAGTGGCTCGCCTTGCCTGCGTATCAAAAGTTAATATACGTTTGATCAGTTAGAAACGTGTTTTCGATAGAGCGCGTCTTATTTAACTGTTCAAAACTGTCGCGTCTTTGTGTCAACTTTGTGGCATGGTAGGATTACAAATCTTACAACACATACATAAGTTTAAAGTAATATTCACAGTTGAACAATGATTTTGCTCAGGCGGATATTAAAACGGGCTCCGTTCGGGAGATCGTTACGTGCGTGTTGCCTAGACCTCGTTTCTTAACCTTTAAAACAATCCAACATCAGCGAATGTATGCTTGGGTTTCGTAGCGAGTAAAGTGGCACAAACACTCGTTGCATTTTAGACTCATTAGCATTTAATTGCGTCATCAACAGTGCCGATTTTCGGTGTCATTGCTAAGGCCGCCAAAAGTATTTAAATTTTTGTAATTCGGAGAACAAAGGATAATATTTAAACGGCATTTTAGTACATATAAATTTCCGCGTGATACCCTAGACGCAATAAACAATTGGGATAAATTGTTTCTTTTTTTCATTAGCTATATTTAACTGTTAAACACACGAATTATTTTAAAAAATACTAGTACGATATATGGAACAAAAAAAGTGAAATAAAGTAACAGCCTTTATGTCCCCCTGCTAAGCCTCCTCTGTACAGAGGGTATTAGGGAAAATTAAAAGAATTTAAAATTAACTGGGGATCGAACTCAGGTTACTCTACTCGAGCAATCCGAGATCGATCCCCGTAATATTGAATCAAAAGCGAGCGCCCAGGCAAACACTGAGCAATCTCAGTTATACAAAAAACAAAAACAACATCAAATATACACAAAAAGAAACAAAAATGACATCGAATATAGCTACTAGACATTCTCTGTTTGGTTTGAGTAGGTCCCTGGTGTATCTCTGGAGTGTAAGGTGCAATACCTAAATATATATGGGAGAGCAAAGGGGAACTAAACCGAACCCAATGCAAAAAGATTTTTTAAATATCGGTTCATACATGCCGTAATTTTGAGGAACGAACAAACATAAAAAAAGACTAACGACTAATGAGAACTAACCTTTTTTAGAGTCGTTTGAAGAATGCGTCTATTATTTACGTATCTGTTCTGTATCTGTTGTTTGACTTTGTAACGTCCTATTCCGCAGGCCCAGGGAAAGGGACGAGACGGAGCGCGTGATCCGGTGCACCCTGAAGGAGATCATGATGAGCGTCGACCTGGACGAGGTGACGAGCAAAGCGATCCGCGGCCGGCTCGAGGACGAGCTGGACATGGACCTCGCCGAGTACAAGTCGTTCATAGACCAGGAGATGCTGACCATACTGGGCCAGATGGATGCGCCGACCGAGATATTCGACCACGTGTACCTCGGCTCCGAGTGGAACGCCAGCAACCTCGAGGAGTTGCAACGGAACGGGTGAGTCGATTAACCCCCCCAACCCCCTCCCACCGCTCGAAACATTTTTGAACCGCATATTTCTAAACATTACTCCTATCAAAATATGTAGGATAGGGTTTACACGTCACGTTCCTGATCTTGGAACTACTAGAAATATTCTGTTATAATTATGGTACGTTATAGATGAAAAAGGTTGGGAATATTTCCGTAAAGTTGCTATTTAAATAATATAGTTTGTAGTTTATATATATATAATCTATGGCAAACGAGCTAGCGGTTCACCTGATGTTAAGTGAAAACTGCCGCCCATGGATATTTGCAACACCCACAGATGACCATGGCGATGCATGGAATTGCTAGCTTTTAGCTAGCGTTTAGTGACAGACGAAACTCAGAAGTATAACACTTCCATTTCACGTCGGTTTACTGTAAGCTCGTGTTACTTCCACGGACGGACCTGCTTATTCATGCAACAGCGAAGACTGTTGAATCAGTCTGAATAAGCCCTACAAAAGTTGAAAAAAAAATTGAAATGAATTATTTTGTAATTGATTTAATTTCCTTTTCAGAGTTCGGCATATATTGAATGTGACGAGAGAGATAGACAATTTTTTTCCCGGTATGTTCGATTACCTTAACATAAGAGTGTACGACGACGATAAGACTGATCTATTGAAACACTGGGATAACACGTTCAAGTATATTAATAAAGCGAGGAATGAGGGATCCAAAGTGCTCGTGCATTGCAAAATGGGGATCAGTAGATCCGCTTCCGTCGTTATTGCTTACGCTATGAAAGCTTTCAATTGGAATTTTGAGAAGGCTTTGAAACATGTGAAAGCGAAAAGAAATTGCATCAAACCCAACACAAATTTCCTGAACCAACTCGAGACATACCAGGGTATACTCGACGCCATGAAGAATAAAGAGAAATTGCAAAGATCCAAATCGGAGACTAACTTGAAATCGCCTAAAACTGCCTCAAAAATAGAAAATAAGATAATGGATCCAACTCCTTTAATTTTAGCTTTAACTGGATCTTACACCGGGAGACCTAGGTCGTGGTCGCCGGATACGAAACTCGCTTCTGAATTGTTGCCACCGACTTCAGTTTCTCTCGAGAATTTGGCCTCCGAAACCCGCCACATGCTTATGCCTTGCGCCAATGGAAGCTATAGCGTTTCACCAAACCAAATTATAAGATTAAAAGAAGAAAAGGAAGAAGGGGCCCCGTCCGTTAAACACATTGTTAACGAAATTGAAAATGCGGCTTCGATTGACCGTAGAGATGTCATCAGAAGACAGCAAAGGTTAAATTTTGCCAACCAAAACGATGTTTCAAGTAGTAGGTCGTCAGAGGGCTCGGGTGGTTTGGCTGCCCAAGTTACCGATCTGCCGAACAAACAGCTGCAGACATCGCCGTTACGAAGTCTGGGTCACAAGTACTCACACTCGGACGTAGAAGCCGACAAGATACACACATGGGACCCCGGGGAGGTCCCTTGGCACAGGACTGATGATAGTCGAAACGGTAGCGATAGTGATAACATAGTTAAAAGTGACAGTGGTATAATAGACGTTAAAATAAAAACGAGTGACGCTTTCTCAAATTGTATAGATCGTAATATAGACTGTGACGATAGGAGGATCATCGAAGACGACGCCCCACCACCGAGCAGACAGAGTTCCTGGAGCTCCTTCGACAGTGCCGTAGTGCCGGACCTCTCGCGACACTCGTCGTGGGGCTCGTTCGACACCCGTTCGGGTCGGCCGCAGGTCACGCTCCGGGAGGAGCCCGTCAAAAGGGTCAAGGAGCGGGTCGAGGAGCGCGGCGACAGGGGCGCCGACCCCGTGGCGCCGCCGCCCAAGCCGGCGCCCGACCTCGGCATCATCAACGAGCTCGGCGAGCCGAGGAACGCGCGGCGGGCCGGGCCCCGGGCGCCCGCGGACATCCTGGCCAACGAGAAGAAGTTCAACGAGACTTGTGCCATACTGAAGGAGCTTGCGTGTGCGGCGGCTCGCATGGAGCGGGCGCGGGACCGCGGCGCCTCCACGTGGGGCGGCCGCCTCTCCGCCTCGGCGCCCGCGGACACGTGGCTGCGCGTCGGGCCCCGCCGCCGCAGGCTCGCCGCCACCTCGCACCCCGACCTGCCGCGCGCCTCGCCGCCCGCGCCCCACGCCCCGCCCGCTTCGCCCACCTCGCCCGCCTCGCCCGCCTCGCCCGCCTCGCCCACCGCCACCGCCTCGGCGGCGGGCCTCGTCAGCAACCGCCCGACCGCTTCCCTCCCCCGCCCGCCCACCTCGCCCGCCTCGCCCGCCTCGCCCGCCTCGCCCACCGCCACCGCCTCGGCGGCGGGCCTCGTCAGCAACCTCAAGAAGGAGTTCGAGGCGCGCTTGGAGGGTGACGGGGCAAAACGTGGGGGCTCGCGAGGCCGTGCCGGCGCCTCGCCGCCCCTGGGCGAGGACCTGTCGGTGAAGGTGTTGGTGGGGCGCTACGACCGGCCGGGGCGAGTGCGCAGCGAGTCGAGCGGCGAGAGCACGCGAAGGCCGCCCGAGTCCCAGTCGAAGAAATGCCGGCTGACGGAGGGCGGCGCTCGGTCGCTGCGCAACTCGTTCTGCGCGGGCGAGCGGCCGCCCCCGCTGTTTGCCGCACCCGCACCCCCCGCACCGCCCGTGCCGCCCGCTCCAGTCGTATTGTCGATCGCGCCGGTCGACTACCCCAACGTTGTGGTCTCAACTGTGATGTCGAAAGCTCAAAACAAAAAACAATTGCAACATGGGAAAACCCATCCTTTGACGAGGCTCAACTTGAACCGGTCGAATAATAGATGTTCAAATCCTGTGTATAATACTATGTAGGAGTACTACGTTTTTATTTATTATGAATTCTTGCCAAACTCCATATTTTATCTTTCTAGAGTTTTATATACTATTTACAAAATGAAATCACAGTGTATTTGTCTATCACTTCAAATTGTATTAAGCGGCTGTTTGCGTAGAGAAATGTTAAAAGAGAATAAATTCGATACAACTGATGTACAAGTTTTACCTATGTGTTTAATTTAATTTAGTTAAATTAAAACGATATCGAATTTAATAACAAATGATTATATTTGCTTAGCCAAAATCAACAATCTGAAGTTTTTTTCCGCTTACAAATGCCACACGCGGAACACTCTGCAATTCGTTTACTCTTTTATATGTTTCAGAGACATTTTTCGGCTTCCTTCGCACCGTGCCATAATCAAATGCGTAGATGGCACCAGGATTGTATTTGATGGAACATTCCGTCTGTAAAATAATAAAAAATGGTTGTTTGCATAACAATATGCGTCATCTTAATTTATCACCATTACCATCATAAAAGTACTGTTTTTTCTCTAATTTCGTGTGTTAATGGATCCTTTAAAGATTGTAGCGAGAAGAAATGTCCGTACACCAAAGATTTTCATATACACAGCGGTCTGCATAAGCTCGCTCAATAAAATAGCCTTCGACTAAATAATTTCGAGGGAAAGAGTTTTATGTGATGGGTTTCCCAACATACGCTTGCACCGTTAATTAACAGTGTATTAATTATTGTTACTGTGTAAGTAGTTCACTTATATATTTATATTCCTCAAAAATACAATGAAAAAACTGAGTAGCGTGCCCGTTCTGCGGATAACTAATTTCTTAAGTGCATTATTACTATTTAACACGTCCTTACTTCTTTAAAAACCTAATAAACATGTTGAAGTGTATATGTGTTGCTGGCTACCTCTTTCTATTCCTTCAGTTTAGAGACGTGACAACTTTTTCTTAATTTTATCGAATGTTTCAGTACGATTTGTAGCTGATTATTATTATTTATTTATTGTAGAATTGATCATAATCGAAATAATAAGTACAGTGAAGTATGGCATAAATTTTGTTTTCGACTTAATAAAATCAAAAGATCTTTATAGCTTACCAACTTTAATTTGACATCGACAACGCGCAGTATATTACCGTCGGAACCACCGCATACAATTAGGTTTGTTTTTGGAACGAACTTTCCACAATATAACTTGGACTGGTGGTTATCTGGTACTATAGTTTCAATTAATTTGCATGATCCGTAATCCCATATTTGAATATTATCATTATCTTGCCAGGAACATGTTAATATCTAAATTAATAGGAAATTAGCTTTTTGTTAATATGCATCTTTTTTGTTGCAAACAGGCGTTCACCTGATGATGTTAATGTTATATCTCTAATATACATTTACAGCGCCACACATGCATTTCCAAACCTAAAATTAAAACCGGCCAAGTGCGAGTCGAGCCGTGATAGCTCAGTGTCCGGGCGCTCGCCTTTAATTCAATATACTAGGAATTCGATCCCCGGTGCCGGCACCAATGAAGTTTTTAACTTTAAGTGCTGACTTATCACGTGCTCCGCGGTGAAGGAAAACATCGTAAGGAAACCTGCATATTTTCGAAATAATAACAAAAAAAATATATATTTCGAAGATATGTGAAGTCCGCAGTGGAGCCGCGTGGTGGATTATGCCCTGATACCCTCTGTATAAAGGAGGCCTTTGCCCAGCAGTGGGACATGTATAGGCTGTTACTTTACTTTAAGTGCGAGTCGGACGCGCGCACTAAGGGTTCCGTAGCATTACCTATAGATACGGCAAAAAATCATGTCTATTGTATGGGAGCCCTAATTTTTCTTTAGGATTTGTTATAGCGGCAACATAAATACATCATCTGTGAAAATTTCAACTGTATAACTATCACGGTTCATGACATACAGCATGGTGACAGACAACGGAGTCTTAGAAATAGGGTCCCGTTATACCCTTTGGGTACGGAACTCTTAAAAATGAGCCGTAGTTATTCCACGGTTAGTTTTCTGCTAGGCTATGGTGTTCACAACAGCAGAAGCTGCTGCGTAATAAAAAGTAGATAAATACGTTGAGATTGTTGGCATTCTTTTCAACAATTCAATTAATAAATAAAGACGGGTACCGTTAAACGTGTAGTGTTTCGTAATGAGAATCACCTGTTTGCCTGGTTTATCAAAATCTAGCCCTTCACCACATAAGTGGACACCCAAAAAATAACGCGTTGCGAAAGGTTGTCTTGCATCCCAGCAAATTACTGCGTCGTCCCAACCCCCGGAAACTAACTCGTGATTTGATCTAGGATTGAATGTGCATGCGAAAATTCTTGACTTGTGGCCATCTATCACATTTCTTTTTCCACTTAAACAGAAAAAATATTTTTGTACTCACTTAATTTTGAACTTTAATGACTGTTTAAGAATCGTAACATCACAGAAGTATTATTTTATAAAGAGCTTAATTCCTTTAATTAATTCTTAGGTACTTATTATTAATATCATAACTTTTGTTAACATAGCAATTTTACCTAGAATGAAAAGCTCTTTCTTGAGTTTGTGTTTCATCATCATACATGTTAAGTGTAGCGTCATCTCCAAAAGTAACAAATTTAGAATAGCGAGGGTGATAACTTAAGCCTAAAGTTTGTCTCTTTTCTCTTATGGTATATAAACATTGCCGATAGTTATATTTCCAACATTTCACGTAACCATTTACATCTGCAAAGAAATTTATCTATACAAAATATTTATATCTAACATCTTTGTCTTGTCTGTAAATATGGTATTTTTTAGAAAAAAGGTCATAAAATTAATCCAAATTATATTATGCTTACATGAAGTCAAAAGTGTGTTCGTGACAGGGTGAGACATGCTGACAGGGCGGTGCTTAATGCCGGTGACGGGTCCAGGGTAAGTGCGGCATTCTTCGTCGACCAGCGTATTCGAACAGTTACCATTATTACAATCGAATAACCTGACTGTGCCGTCGGAAAACCCGAGGGCTAAATGTTTAACATCCTCTGTATATTTACAGCACATAATATCCTTGTTTGTGTTTCTATAATATTATTATATTTCATATACATAGAACAGTTGATCATATTAGACTTAAGATGAACAGTTTGGCAGGCAATTTTCTGATTTAGTGCGGGACATGGTACATGGGTGGTGGTACATGGTACAGGGGGGGTATTTTGCCAATTCAATATAAATGAAACCTTGCTAAACTAAATTTAGTTCCCAAAAGAAATAACTATATTTAATAAACGAAACTAAATCGTTGTAAATATATGAACAAGTCATTTTGCTCTATCGCTCATAATTTATAAATACATATAAGGTTCATAATTTAACTTTTGGCTACTTTTGATTGGAAAAAAATGATTTTCATACATTATGGATAGAAGATTGACATCGCCTTGGTAAACCTGACATTGGTCAGTATGAAAAGAACGGAGTTCAACATGAGGTGTGCTGGTATGAATTGTTACAAATTCAGTTTTACGATTTTCACGTTTTTTAAAAGCATTTGTAACACCAAAACTCTTTCTAGCTGATTTTATACTAGAAGCCGCTACCGGCCCGGCCAATGTTTTTCTTTGAGGATCCATTGAGTACCTACGGTAAGGTGAGATTTAGAATTTTCGTCATGACATTAATTATTCATTGATAGACATTTGCACAGATCCTTTATATTTATAAAGAGTGCTTTGAAAAGAAAATATTCTAAGTCATAATTTTTTCAACTGCGCGATTTTTAATGCATTCACAGCGTATATCGTGAAAATAAGTAATCAAACAGAACATGGTACGCAGTGTCTAAAATTAAGAAAATACTCCATATTTTATATAAATAAAAGCTTTTGTTCACAATACAAGCATTTTTTCAAATTTTAGAATGTATTTACCACCGTTTTAGGCAGCCCCGGATTTGGGGGGGGGGGGGGGGGGGGCAAGGCGGAGCTCATGGTCCTTTTACATATGAAATTTACTTTTTGTCATACTGACCCCTTTTTCTGAAATATCTCCTCTTTGGTTAAGACTTCCAAATTCAAATTTATAAATTCATTCCATACCGCACAATGGAAAACATGAAATATCGGTGTATTTACGAGTACGACTTCTGTTCGGTATATTTACGAGCTGTTTCCGTAGCACCAGTGCTGCAGAAACAGCTAAAATGATTACGATATGTACGGCGCTGGTGTCGCAAAATAAAGCACGGTACGTTTTTGGACCCCGTGGACGGCCGGAGACCACCGTACTTGTACGATGAACTTGCAAAACGTGTCGACTGCTGTGTTACTTTGCACAACCGACACAATGATGAAGGGATTTTAAATCGAATCATTACTTGTGATGAAAAGTGAATACTGTACGATATTCGGAAGCGCTTGTTGCCATGGCAGACCCAGCCCAATCGAAAGCCAGCTAAACGAAAATTGACTCAGAAAAAGTTACTTGTGATTGTTTGTTGCACTAGCGCCAGTGACGTTCACTTCAGCTGTCTAAAATCTGGCCAAATGATTACAGCAGATATCTATTGACAGCAACTGCAAACCATGAAGGAATAAATAAATAGCTGTCAATCGCTCTAGGCCACTGCTGCTTCACGACAACGCAAGACAACAGTCTGCACAACAAACAACCACTAAGTAAGATGAGCTACAATTGGAATGTCTGCATTCACCGTACTCCCCGGACCTTGCTCCAACAGATAACCATTTTTTCCGGAATTTGGGCAACTTCTTACAAGAAAAAAAATTCCACTCCGATGAGGCAGTCCAAACCGGATCGATGAACTACCTATGAGATGGCAAAAGTGCATAGATAACAACGGTGCATACTTTGATCAATTAAATATATTTTACAAACAAAAATGACTTTATATTCCTCCCGTACACAACGCCAATTTCATATGTAAGGACCTAATATTTGTATTGCCCTGCGAATTTACTCTACGCTTCCCACTACAGCTGAAAGCTGTGAGCGAAGTTTTAGCAAACTAAAACTAATTACGAATTCCCTTCGTGCGCGAGTCCGACCTCAAAAAAACCGGCCAACTTTGGCCAGTTTTTTTTAACTTTTTATAAACTATCAGTCATCATCATTTTACAGGTGTCACTTTGTAATTCATAGTTTTAGTTACACGTACTTTACATATTAGACCGAACTTTACTTATTTTGTTATTTGCCAATAACTTATATAAGTACCTGCCAATAACCTTTTGCTAACTATTACTTTTTGGTTTGGATTTCTGCAACTTTGAGTCCTTTGTTTGGACATTACTTTAATTTATATTATTCTATTTGCATTATTTGGCTCGCTAGTGTAAGTGTACAACTGCAAATGTGTTTTTATGTCACATTCAATAAGTCTTTTATTCTGGTGGGTGGTGGGTCAATTAAACAGCTTCAATCAATACAACATGGGATGAACTGACAGTGTTTTAGAATTAAAGATTTTGCCGTCTTATGTCGTAAAAGAAACTTGGCTTTCACCTAAATCAAATATACGGCACTAGGCAATATCAGGCTATAAATTAATTCATACACCACGGTACATTGCGAAATAGAGCTTGTGAACGCACAAAAAATTAAAAGAAATCAAGCTTACAATATTATCGAGATGTACGAAACTTTGTAAACAATGAGATTATAAAGGAAAAACGCGCCTATTTCAAGCATATGTTAAAAAATGATAATTCAAATTCAAATATCTTTATTCAGTATAGAAACATTATCTACACTTACTTATTGATTGTCAAAAAACACTACTACGCTAAAAAACATATTTCTGTTTCTTGGCGAGCTGTTAATTTATTTAAGCTGTTATTTAATCAAACCGGTAGCGGGTAGCAATATCCATAATTTTCTTAGCAATCCCGATAAATTAAATGAACATTTTATTAAGAGTAAACCTGACAAGATAATGTAGAAAGAAGGTGTTAAGATTTTCGTCGCTGTGGCTATCAGCCGTTTAGCTCAGTAGCTAGAGCGTCAGGCCGCGAATGCTGAAGACGTGGGTTCGATTCCCAGAGCGGCGATAATCTTTTCGTACTTTTTCTACATGTTTTAAAGAGTAGACCTTCTTCAAATTGCTCGTTCAATAATGATTCTATATTTAATCGAGGTAGAAGACATTAGGATGCGGTCTTTTACTGTCCTTTACTAAAATATCGCAGTCAGTTATCGCACGCATTATCGAATCGTCCCCTAATCAATCTACGGGATCTCAATGTTAATGCTAAACCTTGCTTTGCCTTATTCTCTGAATGCCATCTCATCTATTGGTAACAAATCTATTTTAAAAGGTACATTCCCAGAGCAATGGAAATGTGCAATGAAAACGCCTTTACTCAAAAAGTCCAGTTGAAAGTGAAAACGACCAGAGACCTATTAGCGTCTTACCTTCACTGTCTAAGGTAGTAGCGTTTTAATCCAGATTATGCTGTACCTGGAATACAATAATATTAATCCTACTCTGTAATCAGGTTTTCGCAAAAAACATAGTATCTACTATTACCGCACTTGCGCACATAGTCGATCATATCCTAACTCCTGATGAAAGTAAAGGTCTAAACTTATTTTATTAAATCTATATTAATTTTATTAGACTTCTCTCGTGTTTTTGACTGTGTCTGTGTCGCGATGCTTCGAAATAAATTACAATATTTTGGGTTTTCAGAGATGGCATGAAACTGGTTTAAATCATATTTGTTAAATCGACACCAAATTGTGCCATTACACACTACTAACAGGGAAGGGCTGTTACTGTTAAATTTTAGCCATTGGCAGTATCGAGGGGAGTAATCCAAGGGTCGATCTTCAGTCCGACGCTGTTTGCAATTTGTGCGTCGGATATAACATAAACATAGTTTTCACATTTTCATTTTTACGCAGATGACACTCAACTGTATGTTTACGTGCTAGTCTCAGCTGACGGGGTATCGAAGGCAGTTGTAGAGTTCAATCACGATCTCGAGAATATTGTTGCATGGTCCGAACAACACAGTTTATTGCTGAATCCTAAAAAATACGTCCATTTTTTGTGGAGACATCAAACGGACTTTATACAATTTCTTGAGCCTTGCAATAAAATTGCTAATTTCACTGTGCCTCGTCAAAACTAACGTAACCCAGGCCTTGTACTTGATGAGAATCTACACTTCCAACATTTCCAATAAAAATAGGTAAATGTTTTGCAGCTCTCAAAACTATCTATAAGCTTAGAAATTTCATTGACGATAAGTTACGATTGGAGCTATGAAACACGCTTGTTCAATCTCATTTTCATTATTGCGATGTCGTATACGAACCGATTTAATAAAAGTAATGCTAAGTGTTAAGTAATGCTCACTACAGTGCATTATTGAAAGTTATATCCTAATCGGTTTCTGAGATAAGCGCGCCCAAACGCACAGACAAACAGACACAAATTATAACAATCTTATCCAATATTTTAGGTTCTATTGCGTTGATAAAGGCCCCTTATAAAAGCTTTTCGTAAATATCTTCCATGTACAGACAACGATCAGTTAAATTTTTATTACATGTAATATATTCTCGTCCCTTCAACCTACCTTAATTGGTTACGTATTTGAAGTGTCTTAATTTTAATTGGACGGTGGTAACTGTATGTCGTTAGCACTCTCCTTTTGGAAATAAAAACTATTTAAAAAAATAAAATGCTTACTGAAAGGTTCACAGGAACGTTATAGCAGAAAATCAGTTTCTATTCTAATGATAGCAATCCGACCCAGTCTAGTTGAGTACGGGAACGCTTTAATCGACGGTATATTCAATGCAAGATTTTAAATAAAAATATTCATATAATTGTTTTTTTATATATTTAGTTAGGTTAGAGCTAGTGACAGTAAATTAAAGAAATTAAATATTCCAAAAATCAGAGGGACTATAAATT